TTATTTTCTCAATCAATAACAACTTCATTCTCTTCCTCAAGGACACCGAACTGGACAAATTAATAAAAACTAAACAATACTTTTTCATAACACAACCTTTTTAATATGTAAATAATTTAACAATCATTTCTCTGATAAATTTAAAAAAAAATGTAACTAATGCTAATGTAACCATAGCTGCTGAAGTTATAATTTCGATCAATAAAAAAAAATAATTGCGATTGATATACCCGTACATTTTGATACGATTAATGGTTCTGAAAGGTATTTTTACATCGTAAGCAGTTATAATAATAATTAGAACATTATATTGCAGATCTTCAACAAACTTCTGTCGCAGAAGACGAGTTAAACTTTATTAAAACATTATAACGAGTAGTTAAATAATTTGTTATTTTAATTATAATATGATAATTTACGCAATTTTCTTTTACTCTAATTTCTAAGTTAGTTATTTCACTTCGAGGCTAGTGAAGAAGTTTACCAAGTTTAATCAGTAAATAACATCGTTAATGAAAGTTATTACGATTCACGGGAGTGCACAAACTCACACGCATACGCACAACATATGTGTACAAGTACATGCATTGTATCATTTGTGGATAACATCAACAAAACATACTATAATGCAATTTGCCGCGGTTCTAGAGTTGGGTGTTTTTGTACAATAGCGAACGAGTTAATATTACGAGATAAATTTCTGTTTGTTATTTAACACGCGGTATTTCTTGTTTTATTTTTATTTTTTTATTTTTTTTCCCCTCCCATTTGTTATTTTACATACCCAAAGAAGTGACATTTTTATCTCCACTGTAATCCAATTTAAAGCACCTACGATTAACGTCATCAATTTCGGCCGAGATATTATGCATTCACCGTTTGCCTTACTGTCTCGTTCGGATCGCTAATCGACGGTGATTCGAACGCGCACATTTCCAATCGCGTTTCGAGCGTATCATTTTCAAACGGCACACAATTGAACGGATACAGAACAAACGTGTACCTGACGAACGTAAATGCGGTCGTATCGCACAGCCCGTAGTCGATGGTTGTTTTCACGTTTTACGAGCACCGTTTTCCGTTGATCTGAATACGTTTTACCTGAGGCGGAACTAGATGGTGGAAGACCCATCCCCGAGCGTAAAATTTAAGTGGGTGGAATTTCTGTAATTATTTACAACTAATTTGATATTTTTAACATTGTGAAATACTGATATTAGGTTAAAACTCACTAAGTATGATTGTACATTAATCATTAGCAAAAAAATTCTCGAGAAGAGTATTTGATTATTTATCTATGATAGGGCGTGTGTTAAAAAGTTTTCCCCGTAAAAATTCCTAGTTCCACCTCTGCGTTGTACACGCAAATCGATGGTGCACCGCGAGACAATCCGCCTGTTCATAATGCGCACATGTTAGTGTAACCGGTGATAGACCGTCGGGCGTGTGCGTGCGCGTGTAGAGTGGACTTTTTTTTTTAATCGCGAATTCGTCCGTAGCAATATAATAGTATTCTTGGCCCGCGACGACGGACGGCCAACGGATTTGCCCGAACGGTCGTACTGTTATTGGTTTTTTCGTCGTCCGCAAAACCGTGAACAATCGTTTTTCCGAGCTGAGAGATATTTTCATCCCGTCCCATCCATCCGGTGACAATGTTGAAAACGGCGATCATCACATGGTGAATCGATCGAAGCGTAAACTGCCGTCAACATAATTGGATGTGTTCGAGGCGTGTACTGCTGGCACGTCGACGGCGAACCTGCCCACTCGCGTACTCCGATGACGCGTCGGCGGCCGCATTTGCCGCACGAGTTTTCAAAACAAATCATTTCGTTTTTCAACGCAACGCGAAATCATCAGTTTTTTACCAATATTGTTTCACCGTTTTAAAACGGATTTGTCGGTATCGGAAACGCGAAACACTTAAGCGCGTCTTACGAAATAAACGGCACGAAAACCATAGAGATTGTTTAATGTATTTTATAAACGAGTGGTGTTTAACACACATGCTTTCCGCAAGTATGATTTTTCACTACATAGTGAAATAAAAAATAAATTGTAATCCGAAAGCAAACGAAAATCGTTCTCGATCGCGTTCAAAACGTTTGCGATTAGATAGATGTTAGGCCCGTAGGTTTTTACGCGTCGGGCACACACGTGAGTTGACGTCCAACTTTCGTTCCAACCCACGTGCGTTTAACGCTATGTGATTCGAAATCGTTCGCGTTGAACGCGATTCGGACCGTACCGGTCGCAATCGCGTACACACCAGCTCGGACGATCGTATCGCGCAGCCTGGACTCTTTCGTGTTCTCGAGCCGGGTGTCCGTTCGCGTCGGGTCGGACGGGTGGGTATCGCAAAAATCCAACTGTCTTTGGAAGTAGCCCAGAGGAGCACGCATGGGCATCACTAGAATCAAAATTTTGTGGTAGCAAAGTTTATTTTTAGATAGTGACAAAATAATTTTTTTTAGGTTTAACATGATAACTGGCTAACTCTTCTTCATAAATCTCGGTATGACGTACACCGTATTATCATCCGTATTGTACTTATCACAAAATATAATTATTTTGGATACAATCATAATAATAGATAGCCCATGTTCGTACGCAGTTGAACAATAAACATCGAATATATTTTTAAAATGTTTGGGTTTGCAAAAAGATACCATTGCTGCCCTACAAAAAAACTCTGGGATAGCAAAGAAACCCCTTGATACCCTTTGGTGACACCTACGGGAGCACTCATCACGGGTAAAACGTGTCGTACGCCGTTCACCATTTGCCCGGGACAGTGCGTTTCCGTGCGCACCCGGAGGTATCGTCCAGGAAAAAGGTGCGCGGTAGATGGAATGATCCGAACCACGGTCCCGTGTGCCCACCCGCAGTGCAGGGCGAGCGGTCGTACGACAAAATCGTTTTGGAAACGCCGGAACCACCGAGGCATTCGAGCGGACGACTCGGTCGTGTCGTCGAGTACTCAACCCGGTGAGCGGTCATCCGAGAGAGTAGGTGATGCAGCGGCGGCCGTGGCCTCGGACCGTCTCACGCGACGATTGCTCTTTCTTGATGTCCCGTTCGTTTAGATTAGATTGCCGAACGTGCACGTTCGATCGATGACCGAAATGTCGGTCCCGTTCTCCCGAGGTACCGGTGCGCCCAACACACGGTTTTAAACGCGGAATCGAAAATATCTACACCGTGTATCGATACGCATGGACTCGATGGTGTTATACTTCTATTAGTTTTTTCAGCCTTTCGATAAGTATACTGCGTCCGTTATAAATGTTACGAAAAAAAACCACGAATACGGTACGTCACATCAAACGTTTTGTTTTCATCATTATGAGTAGTTCCACCATCGAATAGATAATAAAAAGAAAGTATTGATGTACACGTCGGAAAAGAGAACGATGGTAATGCGTTCTAATTCCGCAATAACTAGTGAAATCTGTAATTTAAATAACGGACGGGTTACAATAATGTGTTTTCTATTATTATAGCTATTATTTGAAAAAAATATGACATTTGCAATCCGTATACCTAAATTAAAACGAAATTGGCAAATCGACAAGCCGTATTCATGTATCCTAAGTGAATATTCAATTAAAATTTAAGCTAAGGTTTATTGTGATTTTCATATAATATGAAACATTTTCACTATTCACATCAATGTACTTATTACGTTCAAGTTGCAGTTTTGTTCAAACAACATGCAAATCTTACATTGATTGTACATTCGAAGAACATTTTCGAATAATTAAAACTAATTGTTTCTTATAACTCGTGGATTATTATTATTAAAATTGCTGTACATACAACTTCTATAATTATATTATTAATAAGCGAAGCCAAATCTAAATTACTACTGAATTCATCAAATATTTATAAAAATATTTAAACGAGTAATAAAAAATAAAAATCTAAAAAATAATCTAGTCAATATTAACTTATATATCATAAGACTAGCATTATTTACAATATTATTTGTAATAATAATTAAACAATTTTTCTTATTTTCCCGAAATAATAAACACCCATTAAATGGTAAACTATACTTTTTAATAATTTTATGAATTATAATACTACGCACTTAACATTAATTAATTTAAATAAAAAAATTAATATTAATCAAATAAAATGTTTGTGTTTTTAAAAATATTATACATCGTTACCCAATTAAATCTTTATGAAATAAATGACTGCATAAATTATATTATTCTGAATTTTAAATTACAATAATAATTCATTGAAATTAACAAAACATAAATATAAAAACATGGCAAATTTATTTATAATAATAATCACATTACTATAAATATAGTACAATAAGAAAATGTGAACAGAAAAATTAAAAATTAACTACATAAATAAATATAAAAGAAATACTGATGAGATAAGTAAAACTTTTTAGTTTTTGTACAAAAATATCTAAAACAATAATTATGCATTTCAATTATTTGAAATCTTGAATCAATTCCTTTTACGAGTTTAACATTAGCTGAGGGAACGATCAGCATTACTTAAATTTATACAATTTACATTACGGAGCTCTACGAACTTGAAAAAATGTGATTTTTGAAAATAATATATTATGAGCATTTAAAATTTGACCTACAAAAACATTTCGGCTGCTATATTCTTTGTACGCTTGAGGGAATAATGTTTATCAATTATTACACTTTGAACGCGCCGCAACGACGAGAAAATGCGAAATTATTTTTATTCATTTTTTTATTACAAACTAATCGTTAAATGTTACAGTAAAACATTATATTGTTATATTGTTGTTCAAAAAACGATAATTATTTATCTCGTAATCTCTTGTGGAAACGATAAAAATAATATCGACCACTAATAGCACGCGTAGCGCAGAGAGATGTACTCCGCGGACTCGAAAAACGAAAATACCGCAAATACGTACTCGTACGCGGCCATGTGGTCGTTTTGCATATGCCATGCGCCGGCCTCATAACGTAAATTCTTTTTGTCCGCAGACGTACCGGTCGTTAACCTGGAGCTCGGCAGCAACATCAACAGCAGCGCTATCCAAGAAGGCATTGACGTGTACTTTGAGTGCAATATCAAGTCCAACCCTTGGGTGTACCGAGTCACGTGGAGACATAACGTAAGTAAATTATTAAGACCACCCTTTCGATTATTTTTGAATTCATTGAATAATACCGGAATGGTTTCGTTTTATTTGTTACATTTTACGATAAATCCGATATATTCCAAACGGTCGCGTCCGTCAAACGACAATAATTGAACACAAGATACTAGCTCGCTATATTTTTTGGGTTTTAGACTCCGGGTTGTACAGTGGCAATAGTAATGGTTGCGGTAGTGAGGAGACTATTGATTTTATACGTTGGCCAATGTGTTTTGTTTTTGTTCGGAAAACGCTACGGCGGGATATGTAAAAGCCAACTTCGAAATCTTCATAACGATAAATAATTCGGTTTCGAATATACATACGTATATATTCAGTTTACAAGATCGACTTCTGTGCACGAGAAATCGATTTATTTTTATTGTAAACTGCGATTGAAACTTCGGTGAAATGCTAATAACTTCTCGTAGTGAGCGTGTTTCGTCGTGAACTAGCGCGATTAAAATATTAATATTTCTTCTTGCGCTTTTTTTTTACAGTTAAGTATTTCGTTACGATATTGTAATTTTGTTTTTATCATTTGTAAGTGTTTACCTAATAAAAACTTACTCGAATGTTTACGAATTATTACGAAGACCTAAACATGGGACTATTGTATTGATTTGTTTTAACGTGTTCTTATTTTGTTTACCGACGGCCGACAGGGAAAACTGTTGAACAACAATCCAGCCGCGGGCACGATAGTCAGCAATCAGAGCTTGGTTTTGCAAAAGGTGTCGCGGAGCCGTGCCGGTATCTACACGTGCGTCGGCAGCAACCAGGAAGGCGACGGCGAGAGCAACCCCGTGACATTGGACGTAAAATGTGAGTTCCGTCAACTAAATAATAATATATTATCATTTACCAACATCACCTAAACATCTATGTGCGGTCGCGTAACCGCGAACGGCCTACCCCGTTGCGGTTCATTCTAATGCAGTTAAGTCTATTAACAATCTTCTGTTTCAAACGCGAAACAATAAAATAGTGTTCTCGGTTATTTTGAATACGACTTGCCGTCTGATGGCCGAGATAATTTAGCGCCCCCTAACGAGTACCTCAAACCGTTTAACCACGTCGAGATGACCAACCTGATATGGCGTTTGTTTGTTACGTGTCCCCTGCACCACGTCCCGATATGACTTCGAGCTACCGTTGATTATATTTACGTACAATTATGTGAGCGATTTTTTTTTTTTTTTTGTATATTTCGATACGCTTTCTTGATCGTCATGAGCAAAATGTCTTGATAAATTTGAACTCCCGTGCCACCTTAATCTTTTACTGGAACAGATGAGTTCGCTTTCGATTATCATTCGAAATACCGTATGGAGGCAGACAAACGTAATAATTGTCGTTTCGTCATACAACTGGCAGCCATGGCTACCGGTATGCACTCAAAATTAACTGCAATCGCGATGCTTTAATAATAGTATGCTTTTCTTCGCGTGCAGCGCAATACATTTTCCCGCAAACCAACACTGAAAATTCCCCGAGACACGGAAAATACGTGTGGGCAGTCGTTTTGTTCGCGTAAGCTTCGCCGGAGTTTTTGATATTTGGCACGTTCAGGTGTTGACGATGATCATAATGATAATGATAAAACTTCTACGATGGTAATTTCACTGTCGAGTTCGACCTATTTTGGATGGTTCTTGTTTTTGCGTCGCGATCGCATTTTTATTTTTATTTTTTATGATCATTGTAACTATTATTACTTTTGCCTCTATCAAACTTAACAGTTCACAATAATAATTCGACTCTTTGAAACGCTTTTAACAAATGTATTTAAATTTCATTCTAATTGACACTATAAAAACTTTGTTCTTTCGAAAAAAAAATTTGATCACTTAGTAACGAATAGGACGCGTGCGCTGTAGTAACAATCGAAATGAACTTTAAATTTATTTGTACATTTCAAACCATTGCTCCTCGAATAATAATAATAATATTATTATTATTACTTCCATCTGAAATATGAAATTTATAAAAGTGTATAAATGTTGTGTAATGAAATTTTTCATTTATATTGATATTCTATGCCTATGCATTTGTTATACTGTTTTCGGAACGGTGCGGACGACTCACAGTGGTCGAAAATTAAAAAAAGGTGATCAAAAATGTTTATTTGTAACAAATACATTTCAAACATTTTGTTTTAAAAATGTATAAAACACTTCTTTTAGAATTATATATTATAAAAAAATTTTAAAAATATTCATTTTTACTTATACCAAATCTATATTTATGTTGAAAAATGTTTCTTTTTTATTTAAAAATATCATTAATTTTGTACTAATCATTAGTTAATTTTAAACGACTCTTAGTTAAAATTAATCTTATCTTTGGATTATTATATTGTGTATATATATATATGCTGTCAAATATTTATATTTGTTATTATGAAATTAAACTATGTGTACGACTTTGTAGGTCATTGAATTAGTTTAATTTTAATTAATTACTGATAGACTATTTATAAGTCATCAAGACTTTTACGATTTTAAGTTATTTAGTCAACGATAGTCACGCTCACAGATACATACAACAAAACTAGATAATATACAGAAAACGTTTATGTGTAGATTAGTTGCTCATATCTGCTCTACTTTCGATAAGACATTAATGAATTTGACATGTTTATGAAATCGATGATGTAATTGAATAGTTGTATTCGTGCGTTCGATAGAGTGTTATTCATTATGACACGGTCGTGTTTCACGGACCTTCTTTTCTTCCCGTCACCCGTTAAAACCCCTTTGCCTTGGTATTATCGTATATTTGATTATCAATCGGGATACCCGATTAATTAAAAGAACCAGTTCTGAGAAACGACGATATATCACGAAGCGTTCGCGAATGGTGTACCGACTGCCACGAGCGATCGGCAAGCTTGTCTGCCTTTAGCCATCTTCTTGGCACTTTTAATAAACTGTATTTTTGCTAATTTTTTGTTATTTCTTTAACATTTTAATATTTTAGTAAGTTTTAAATTTAATTTGTGTGTGTGTGGGGATTTACCGTGACAAATAATATCGCTCTTAAACCAGTTATCACATGATTAGATGTCCATGAATACATTATTGTTAACAATGTGTCTGGTTCATTACAAGAAAAAAAAACTGTGCATTGAAATTAGTTTTAAATACGTTTAATTTTGAAGAAATATCGTTTGTGTATATTAAATCACTAAAATATTTTTGGCCACCTTTTTTTCAATTTTAGACCACTATGCGACTAGGGTAAATTACATTATTCCTCGCCTTATTAAAATAACACTCGTTTTAAAAGATAAAAAACACAAAAAAAATCACGCAAAAACGTATTTGTGGACAAAACATTTACAAAAATAAAAAACGAATTCATACTTACCGTTATTATTTTTATTAAACATGACGTTTTTGCGACACAATGACTAATGATGTGGGCGCTTGTAAAAAAAATAAGCGCATAAATAATATTAGGAAAAACCGTTTTGCCAACTTAATCCTTTGTTGGAGACAAGTGTACACCTGTTCAGTGTTCATACACCACACGATAAAAAGTACTCGAGAAAAAAAACATTGGTATTGTATTTCGTTAACGAATTTTCCCGTCGCACCAGTGGAGAGTGATATTATTCATAAGGATTTAAAAAATATATATAATAATGCTTATTGTTGGAAAACATCTAGTAGTATCTACACTTCAGGCTGCGTAGGCTTTGTTCCAAAGAAAATAATGTGTTTTCCATTTAAGAAACGCAGAAAAAAAACAACCATTAAGTTCCCCGTTCGTTTTACAATCGTTTTATAACCTAATTTGATAGCTCATTCAAAAGTTTTCTCGTACAAAGTTTTTAATTGGTGAATAATACTTAACGAAAATTCAACGTCCAGCCGAAAATAAGGGAATTACAATTTGAAATAAAAAATAATCTATTAAACGGTATTCAACGTTATCGCAGTTTTTAGATTTTTTTACGGACAACATAATATACGAGTACTACAGTATCAATTGCTGATTCAGTATTTATTTATTTTTCTATTTGTTTATCCACTCTTTGTTTTATCATTACTATCGTGGATTACCGTGATTGATTGTTATTTTTATTTATATTATCACGTTTTTTGCGAGCCATTCATCATTTTTTTTTTTTTTTTTGTGCTGTAAATATTCTCGATTCGAAGATGTAATTTACCACGACAAATTTCATTCTGGACATAAATTATTACTAAACGTAATTAAACATCACTCCAACTCCGAGACTCGATACTTGTATATGTATAGTTCTTTTGTTTCAAATTAACTACCTTACAGTCGTTAAAATGAGAGTCAATAATTAGTGTTTCGTTGAACTACACACGCGAATCGGGTTTGATAAATTTCAGATTTCCGACCATAGGCGGCGTAGCATGCTAGTTAACGAATCACATCTGTATGTAGTTATCGATTTAGAAGTGACGCAGTGGAGAGTAGAACTGTGCAAGGTTCAATAGTGACATCGAGCCATGGTTTGAGTTTCGTGTTTTTTGCACAAAAAGGAAACGATAAAACGGCGCGAAAATAATAAAACGAAAACTATTGTTGCCCCTCAACAATACTCTTGCACGGAATGGAGACAATTCGCTTGTGTGAAGTGCAGCGTGGAACTCATCTTCCGAAAAATTTCCCGGCGCCCGCGGATGCTAATTTCATCATAATACAAACACCGTCGAGTCATAACTCTTTGCGTTATAAACTTTATAAAACTATAGCGAAAAATCCATCTTGGGTAGCGGCGTTGTTGTAGTACATTTGAGGGTCTCGTGTTTCGTCCCGTCCGCGCATATGAAAGTGTATAGATCCTTTTTTCGGAGACGGGTTATACGCGGCTTTAGGTCCGGCGAACCGCTGTGGTCGATTCGGTTTGAGAAAAATTACGGAACCCCTTTCAATTGGTAACCACTCCACGCCGTCCTGAGGTCGATTTCACCGTTGAATAAAAAAAACCCAAATTAAAGTTTTTGAAATCAACCGATGAAATAAACCGTCTTCCAAACTGAAAATATTTTTTGTTATTAATTGTAAAACACTTTTTTACACTACCATTATCAAACAAAGTACACACAGTTATAATAATACTATTTTAGTTATGTATCATATTTCTACTAGAAATATTTTTGAATTAATTAATAATAATTTTGCTCTCTTCGGACTACCGTTATTAAAGTGACGATGGGGTTACGTTACAATGGTTGGAATTATGAAAATTGCAACGAAAAAAAAAGTAATAACCTAGTGTAAATTCGTGTAGGTTGTGTGTTATGTTTATTAAAATCATCAATGTGATTATGACGCTATGATTATTTTTGCTTATTATTTTCGTGACAACAACTCACCTAAGCTTATCAAATACGTTTTGCTCAATACAGATTGGTAACGACGTATATTATTTTAAATTAAAAAAAAAAAAAAAGCCGTATTAAATCGTAAATAAAACAAGAAGAGATTTGTTTTATTATTATGATTTTTTTTCTTTTTTTTTTTTAAAGAAAATTTCCGTTTGTTTTAATTAATGAAAAATAAAAAAAATGTTCAAATTTAAATGCTACGAAGCCAAAGAGGGTAAGAGGATCGGATTAATATTTTATTATTATTTTTTTGTGCAATTATGCAGAACAAACCACCGCCTGACTTTTAGTAAACTTCAATGTACATTTCAGTGATTTTTCAAATAATGTTATTATTTTCCGGAACAACGATTTTTTTCGGATCTAATACAATATTTTAACGTCGTCAGTCCGTAATAAAATTCATCAGAGTTTTCGAGATGGAAATTGAAAATCTGTTTCTTCTTGTTGACACATTATTCACGGCAACTGCATACCCGTACGATTGCTGGATATTGAATAGTTAGTCGTTGCGTCGTTAAAATGCTACGACATCGAGAAACTATTCGCTGTTTGATACTTTTATTACTATTAAGTATTACACGCTTACAATTGCGCGTACGCAGTGCTACTGGCACGTAAATCTATAGCATCTTGATCGAAGTCCCTTTACTGTTCACTCATCGGACTTTCGTCCTACGTGTCAATCCGGTCCATTCAGTGCAGCTCTTCTTGTAATATTACCGACTGCTGTTCACACGGTTTCACAATATTATCCTCATACCGGAGATATTATTAAACGCACAACTCCGTGATCCTAATAGCCCTCGTGGCCGTGTTGCCTAATAAGATGATAATCGAACTAACCGTTTTGGGCTTTTCGCAGTCGCTCCGGTATGCCGGCCGGGACAAGAGACAGTGCAAGGAGTCGGAAGACGCGAAGCGGCCAAGGTAGTGTGCGAGGTGGAGGCTAACCCGTCGGACGGCGTGCAGTACACGTGGCGTTTCAACAACTCGCGGGAAACGGTGATCCTAGCCAGAGACCGATACACGGAGGAAGGGCCGCGAAGCACGGCCGCGTACACGCCACTGACGCCGCTGGACTACGGTACGCTCATGTGCTGGGCGAGCAACGAGTTCGGCAAACAGATCGCACCATGCGTGTACCAAGTGATCGCGGCCGGTAAGTAAAAAAAATAATAATTAATCATATAAATCGTTTCATATCGTCGTGAGTTGACCAACTGTAATTTTGTTTTGCGCTCGTGATCTTTTACCGACAGCCCATTGGGTTACAGCCCAACGATCCACCGTGCGCGATTTTGTGGTACGAAATATATGATGAAAATAGATAGGAATTTATTTTTTCTTTTATCAACAAACCGAGACGTTCGACGTTTACGAAATATATAATTTATACTTGTATCTTCGACTCATTTAACGATCGACTAACTTATTTATTTATTTTTTTGTTTTGTTTTATTTCACATAAAACCGTTTAAGTTTTCTAATAATAAATACATTATGGCATTTTTTCCGACTTTCGATACACTATGAGTTCAAACCCAATGTGTGTGCAGTGCGATACGTGATATATTTCATATCGTCTTACTAAAAAAAAAAAAAAAAAAAGAAAAGAAAAAAGAAATGTTGCTACGTTATAAACGTTAAAACTTTAAGAGCGGACGAATAAATCAAGAGTTAACGACCTGATACGCATATAATATACACATAAGTCGTGTATCACGTGAGACATGTCGTATACGGAATAATGATTATGATAATATTGTACACGCGCCGATTCCGATTCGAAAGCAATAACTTCGTTATGTCATGCTGCAAAACAAACGAAAAATTAATAAGAATGAATACAACCGGCTGACAGTACTTCGTGTATAATATTATAATATCTACGACGACATTTTGAGCGCGAAATAAAATAAAATACATTTACAATCAAAGCCGACTAGCGGGGAGATTCGACAGGAATGTAATTCGACGATGTAAGAAAAACTACCGACAAATATATCTCCTCGTTTACCCGTAGGCGATTTTTTCGAGTCTCCACCGTTGGCCATAGAGACCAAGTCCCCCTCCTCAATACCAATTGAAGGAACATCGTTGATAATTTTATTACATTAACCGGTGAAAAACGAAGGGAGTAAATCGAAATATGACGTGCTCGGCTAAAACGGAATAACGGTTTTCGAATCGATTTATTCGATCACGCCGAGTACGCGTTAGTAGTACAGACCGTTCGCACCACTATGTTACCGAGTGAAATTAACGATTTGAGTGCCTTCAGCGAAATAAGTGCGCTCGTCGTCGAACTCTCAACGTTTTCTCTTGACCACGCGTTTAGAACGTAACGTCCGTACTCCAGTTAAGACGTACGCGCGCGCACGAGTAGTGTACGCCGTCGTCCGTTGTCCTGTTGGCAACCACAGGACCTCCTACAGGCGGACGAAAGTTTTTCGCGAACGTTCTGCGGAAGTGTGAGAGAGAGAGAGAGAGTGAGAGAGAGAGAGAGAGTGAGAGAGAGCGTAGTAGTAGCAGAAAGCACATCTCGTCCGCACAGACCAAGTGGGGAAGTTTTCACAATAATAATAATAATAATAATAATAATATTACATAATGGCGTTTCCGGCAGACCCGACTACCGGCATCCGGGCCGCGCGAACAAAACCAGAACGACCCGGGCCTTTTGTGAGCGCCACTCACCGAACTTGGCGTTTAACTTTTAGCATAACGTCATGCTCCGCTGAGTGCGTTTTCTTTCGGCCACGCGGACGGACGGGGGTGAACGCGGCGTTTCCCGCGAGGTTTCGGGAGAGAAAAAATTTACACTTTTGCAACGTACAAAATTATTGTACATGATCACCGTGAACACACATCGAACCGTGCTCAGCCACACACGTCGCCGCGGTTCGACGATCGCCGCTGCCGCCGCGCAACTTTTGCCGGGTCAACGAAAACCGAAAAATTATGTATCGATAGCGGAGTTGGCTTTCGGAATTAAAAACTTTCGCTTTGTCGCGTTATCCGAACGCTCGCCGGCCATGCGCACGTTGACGACGGCCGCGCACAGAAGAACAAAACAAAAAACTCGCGGTGGCAATCGTTGTGGAGAGCAGTGAGTAGTGGCGGGAGTACACTTTAAATTATTCACCGAAAAACCGATTGTTAAAAGTGTCTATAAATCTCCTATCCTGTGTGTACGCAGTACCACGTTCCCCGCGCCACCGTCGCCACCGTGCAGTTTAAACCGTCATATATTACGGTTATCCCGTGAACACGTCTCCGCATGCGCACGCCGCTAAAACCTTTTCGTGGTCCCCAGATTTATAGCGGAATGAAAAAATAAAATAAATCCCTCGGCCGATACAGGCCGGAGCCAGTCGACGACGCGCGATAATTTCGTTTGTCGGGGAAAAAAAAAAAATGTTCATTCAAAAATATAAAATATTTAATCTCCGTTCGCGTGGCATAATTATGCACTCTCCGCGGCGGCTAACCAGTCGATTCGAATACACCTCGAACGAATACGCTCCTAAACACTACTATCGATGATTATCGTTTTTTTTTTTTTTTGCGTCGGCCATAATCGACCCTGACGGTTAATTATCTCACACCTTGCACCTGTGTACACGTTCATTTCGATCGAATCTCCCCTACCCCGAACACCCTTATAATATTTATCATAATTTCCCAGTTGATTCTTCGTGAAAACGCGTGCCAACCACACCTCCACCCGTGTATTATAACGATGTGATGGAAAAAAATACACTTTACAATCGGCACGTTAAATAACATTAAAAAATAAAAAAAATAGTATATTGATTAAACCGTTCCTATCGCTTTTATTGCGATCGTTCACGCGGTTAGTTAGCTCGTGGTTTTTGCGCGCAAACTCGATCACTTTGTTCGATGAAAGAATGTACGATCCACCTGAGATAACTTCACTATAACCAAACACATTTTTGTGCATTTCTAATTACATACGAATTATTTAAGTATACATACGGGTATTTTGGGCTAAAAAATTACATAACGACTGCTGTTGAATATGATTCTCGGTGTTTTCTTTTCTTTTCAAGGCACTCGAACAATTTGATAATACGAAGTAAAACTTAAAATATCACGAATCTATTGTCCTTAAAAATATAAATAAATTTAATATTATTTAACTGTCAGTTGTCACGGCTTTAAAAAACATCGTTGTACGCAATGCATGTCGTTCGACCCGAAGTTTCGCTTTCGTTAAAAAATCGTCCTCGTAAATTTCAATAGCCCGAGGATACAACTCTATACAAGAATACAACAATCCAACAATAAGTATATTTAAATTACTATACGTGAGTTCATAAAAAAATAAATAGAAATAAAAAATTTGTCCTTTTTATCGTTAAGCAACTTTACACGAATAAAAAATTGAAATATATAAAACAAGTATTCGCAACAGAATCATTTACTGTAGGTCCTTCGCATTTCTAGTTTTCCATTTTCTTCTCTTCATTAACTCGATAAAATACAATAATTTATAGAATGACGGACTGACAAGCACCGCTTGGTCACATTCTATATTTTCTACAATCGCACTTGAACGAAGAAAAGGATTCAAAAAAATCAACATTCAATGCAATGCAATCAAATATTATATTATATATAGAACTTTTTAATAATCTTGTATACAGTATATTTATATTAAGTTGTATGCCCTGTACTCAAATTATCGTTTAATGAAATTTCAAACGAATTCAATTAACTCTCGTTATACTCGATAACAATCGGTTGGCCAAAAAACAATGTTATAACGTGCAATACCTATCGAATCCGATTATGCAATACATTTAGCCCGCGGTGTCCAATGAGTGGTGTACGTGTTCGGTTGCTCGGGACCTTCAATGATAAATACATTTTATATAACTGTAATTTAGACATTGGTTATCGATTTATGACTTTTATCAATTTAGAATATCTTCGTGACTCGTATACAATAAATCGACGATAGCGATGTACAGTGGATTCGTTCCAAGCTCAAATGATGCGTATATTAATTCAACGCGAATCCATAACCAAAAATTAATACCGACAGAATGAGTTCTCATTCAAACCCTTTCAACGCTTTGTAGATTGGCAATTTTGCTGCTATAATACATATATATATATATATATATGGATGTGTGTGTGTGAGTAAAGTCGTAGCTATGGGGTTGGCAAACTTTCAATTAACGTGTCAAAGCCTGGTCCATGGACAACTGAAAATGTCGACCGGTTAGAAATGAAAATAAAAAAAGTCCAAGACTTGATATGGAAAATAAACGTTTCGCAAAGGAAAAGTAGAAAAAAAAAGGAAAAAAAAGTTAAATAAACCAAGCGCTCTGGTAGTTTTTTACGTGTCATTTTGAGACGATCGATTTGGTCCGTTGAAAAATACGATAGCCCCGATAATAGTGCACAATTATTCAAGGACGTAGTGTGCACATGAGCACTATAAGCACTGCTTAGGCATAAAAAAAGTATACGGAAAGAGTTAATTACGTGATTATAATTATCGCCGAAGGGGCAAGCTTCAGTTGCGCAATAGTTGCTCAACAGTTTGATCATATCCGCATTCGCATATGCCACTAAACTGTCCTGTCGAATTAGGATACAAAAGATGTAATCGAACGATTCGTGACAAAACACAAGCTAATTAGTTGGTCACACCGTTCGGTTGCGTGAGAGCTCATTATCATATATCACCGTGGAAGTTACTTATGCGATAAGACTGTTGCGAAACTATGGTGCAAATGAAAATTGCCCGCCAGCGACTAGCCCTAAAACGGTAGTAAAACACTAAATACATTTACAATAATAACGATATTGTCTTCGTGAATGTTTTTCTTGTCAGCCGTCCTCTTCGACGGTAGAAAATCTTTTCTCGTCCCATAGACACCTGATATTCGCGCGTCGCGCTGCTGCGTAACATGTTTTGAAACTCGTTGTGCCCACCATTTGTAAGCATTTACGATTTTGTGTAAATCACTGCGCCAAACGGCCAGTTTACGTATAACGAAACAACATTTTTTTTTTCCATAACGAAGTAATCAAAGAGTTTAAAAAAAAAATTAAAAAAGACCAATACGAATAGATTTATTGTTCGGATGAATTTATGGTTCAATTCTTTAGAATTAATAAGAAAACCGTTTCAGGTCGCCCGGACAGCCTGGAGAACTGCTCGGTGGTGAACCAGACGTCGGCCTCGCTGGTGGTCAGGTGCCAGCCCGGCTTCGACGGCGGTCTCAGCCAAAGGTTCGTCATGGAAGTGTACGACCGTCACGGTCAGTCGTTGGCCGGCAACGTGACCGCTGACCGGCCCGCCTTCACCGTCGGTAACCTGCCGTCCGGTCTGGGATTCGACATCAGCGTGTACGCGTATAACAGTCGCGGCCCGTCCGATCCGGTCCAGCTACACGCCTACACGCTCAAGTCCGCCGAGAAACGTACAGGTACGTTTTTTACCTTTTTTTTTCTAAATTTCTTATCGAAACTGACGCCCAAAGAGCCCAAGATTACGGCGGCACTAGGTGCTCGTACGCAGAACGATAGCATAACGTCGTGTTATGATATTCGTATCGCGTTTTAAGATTACCGCTCTTCGTCGTGAATATTAACTTCTCGTGCACGTATGAAATCGACCCGATCGATTGTTCCGTTGCGTTGCATTAGCATTCGATTGATCGGATCGGAGAAAAAATAAACGAACAAAGTAAAATGAGCAGACTCAATGTTAAAACGGTTAATTTCCAAAACGTATCGATCGTATTCACCGTTGAATGGTTCATGCTCCAGACGTGGGACGTTCCGTCCACGTTGAAGTGAGAGAGTTTATCGAAGACGATAACGACAGTTGAACAACACAACGCGCACTTGAAGAAATACGAGTTTCAGCTGGCCAAAAAGTATACAGTTAAAAATTTAACAAAATTAATGAATATAGAACTCCCACATAAGAAAAATCACTAGATATCACTTAAAGATTCACTTTCGACTAAACTCGTATTCAGATTCGGAACCATTGACTGATTTTTCTGATATTTTAATAAAAAGATTAATTCCAACGATAGGTAATGTTCTGCCATATATTATTTTACTCCTTAGTGATTCTTTTAGTTGCAGCAACTAATTCTGGTTTGTTTAAAATATGTAGTATGTATTCTAAAAACTTGATCCACGTATTTAAAGCAAATAATCCATATTTTCAGTTATTTTCATTAATTTTAAAATTATGCATTTGATGTGGGTTACTTCGTGTTCTTAGAACTACATATCATAGGAAGGATATATATCAGATGCGTGTTTTTTGACCTAATCTGGTTACAATATATAAGTTTTTTGTCATACGAGTGTCAACCGTAAATGTGAGTGTCTCATTTCCTGTGTATGGAGTTAGGTTTGACTTAGTATTTGTGTACATTTTCCTTGCTTTTTATTGCACGTTTAGATGAAAAATCGGATATTTGTGAAACAATATAGATTACTACACGTTTTCCTTCTACATTTAATGAAGATTTTGCGGCGTAAGCTAATCCATCTAATAGTCTCGTCTCTCTTAAATATTTAACGCTCTTACCTTTAAAGCAGTTACTTCGGTCAGTAAAAACTTTAGATGACCTAACAGCACTTTTCGATGGATAAATATTAGGCACATCACAGTTTATTGGAAGAATAATATTAAAATTTAATTGTAGCCAGCATTCGAGTTTTTTATACTTTTTCTATATTAGTTTGACTCCTTCCATATTTTATACATACTACAAAATTGATGAATTTTATTCGACAAAAATTTTTTTAAATCATCATTATTGACATTACATTTATTACCAAGACTATTTATTGAATAATCCATCAATAAACTTTTGATTTCACTTGAACATGTACTAAATATTTTGACATATAACATAATCCTGACAAACAACTATTTTTTAATTTTGTTTATTGCTACTTATGTCTGAAAAATAATCAATTTTTCGATTAAAGGGGATTCGAGGAATAAAAATTAGTAGACCGCATTAAAGTAACGTCCTTAGGTTTGTATACACAAACGAACTAATCTTCTAAAAGGCTATATAAATATTTGTTGTCATATTTAATGTAAAATGAATAATTCAATTATTTCAAACCTAAATCATGTATGTATTTTAATACAAATAATAAATTTAAATGAAAATCATACCTTTAATAATCAGCATGTGCCGCCTATTTCTATAATTATTTAAAAGTTATTTTCCTGAATTATTGGTAATTGCTCACAACACGTTGCACCGTTCAAATATAAATATGATATACTTTACACAGTTTAACTATCTAATAATATTAAATCTAGTTTATCGCCGCATCACACTAGTAAACCTAATAACTGTTATCGATTGTGCTGTATTTACTATTCCCAAATAGTATTTCAAATACATAAACTGTATACTTAAAAAAAATACATATTCGATTACTTTATGATAATATTATTCTCAAGTATTTGAAATACTTCATAAAAAGTATTTTAAGTATATATAGAATATATATATATTTTTAGTGGATTTCGACTTCAAAAATAATAATTCAATTTGTATTTTTGTTTTTCGATTTGATATTTATAAATGAACAGAATATTATAATTGATAATATACACATACATAAAAGTTATAAATTATATCAATTCAAATTCTAAAATTATGATTCATTTAAATATTAAGTTAGATAATTGTATTAAAATTAATATTTTTACTAAACAACGATTAATAATAATTGATATTGACATTTAATACACTTTTTATACAATTATAACATTAATACATTAATTAGTATTTGTATACTTGTATACAAAGTGTAACCGAGAGAACTGACCAATATATAACCTGAATATGTAAGAACTTATGTTTTATCAAAATTAAATTTTTTAATTCTTTCGCATTATTTTATAGACATATATCATACATGATTAAGTAAATCACTTCACACCGGAATTTTAAATACCAAATTATAGTTCTTATTAATACGTCGTACAGTGGAAGATATACGAGTTCTAGCTGGTCAAAAATATATAATTGAACAAACGTTTTAATTTTTAATATTTCACAGGGCTTACAACAGTTCATTTGAAACAAAAACAAAAATAACAACCAGCTATATATACATCCGAGTTACTCTGAGCTCCGTGAAATTGTTTTATATGTTTAGATTAAAAATTATTCGATGAAAACATCAACAAAATTTTAACAAAATCATTAAATTATTAGAAGACGAAAAAACTTTTTTTTTACGTTTCATTGATTTAATCAATATTTATTCGAACAACTCGTGTCAGAAAACAGTTATACGACTATATTTTTAAATAGTAAATATTGTTTGAAATCACAGTTTGATCAATGAAAAATTAATGATATATATTAACTTTAACACTGTTCTGCAATAAAATTGTTTTCTACTTAAATTAATTAAACTGATACATGCAAGCTACTACAATTTTAATTTGTCTATTATTCGTAATATTCAGAATCGCAGTTATTAATCATATTGAGACCAACTCCAATTATGTTATATAATATTATTATTTTAAAAAGTTGGTACTGAGATACAATATTATAGATTTATTTTTGAAATTGATCCAAAATAAAATATCATGCACGTAGGCATTTTTAAGAATTGCGATTTTGTTCTTGTTCACCCTTAAGGAGAACTTTTGTGGTAACTCCATCGAATTAGACGGAAAAGAGAGTTGAAATGACATGGTATTTTTACTACGATTTATTCGATGTTCAAAAGTATCATGTGCACACTAATAAAATCTCATTTTTCTTCCCCCGGATATTTGATAAAAATGGTACAAATTATTGTTGTATTTATGTAATACGTTTTGACATGGCCATTCAACGAATGGCTGTACATCGACCGACAGACGTGTGTAATAAATTCGAGGGTGAACATAAATAAAGCAACAACAAAACTGATTAGTGAAGGTAAAATCAAGTAATTCAAGTATCACTTTGTAGACCGGTAGTTCATTTAACGTTCAAGAAATTATGTATTATGATTAAAAACAATATATACGAGTACGTTTAGGTGAAAACGATAATATTGCTAACAATATTCATATAAGTAAATTAGAAATTTTGAAACCAAGATTTCTGTATTAATATTTGTTTTTTTAATATTTTGATATTAAGATATGTGAAGTTTATAATTTTTTCTGTAATTAATAAATATTTGCATATTTGTTTTTTTTTTTTTCAATACAATAATGAGATTTTAAGTAAGTGTATTTAAATATTATATTAGTTATGAAAGAAACACGTTAAAAAATAATATATAAAAGAAAAATAAGTTCAGTAATATATGAACGATTGTCTTACACAAACGTAACGTATTTAAATAGTAAATTCGAGGAAAGAGGATATTTTCGAGGATGAGAAATAGATATACGTCTCGAGAATGAAAGGGAGATTGTCACATTATTCTTTTCGAAATGATCCTACCATCAACGAGGCGTAATTTAAATATTTTTGTTTCTCGAAAACTTGGTGCCGGGCTACAGCTGTATTTAATATTACTATATAATATATAGTCCCGTTTTTACAACTGCTATTACATAAACGTTACGATATTATTACTCCACGTAATGTATGAAATATTATTTCACCCATTATATATACGTATATAGTACTATTATAATACGGGGCGGTTTAAGACGCACTACAGGTTTATATATGCGATAATATCGTTATTATTAGTCGAGGGAGTTAAGTCACAGCGGCGACGCGGCCGATAAAATTATTTTCTCACTGCCTATTCCCACTGTCCCGCCGTGCACAAGAAAAAACTTATCAAGACGGTATACGACGACGGCAGTGCGCTTAAAACGTCCGAAAAGTATTTTAGAACAAACGATGGTTTAAAAGTTATTACCTCGGCTGTACGGTTTATCGGCCGAGGAACGTCGCGAAAAAACCGAAAACGTCAAAAAACATTTTTAAACGACCATGATGGTCTATGAGAAAAACTAGTGGCTCCATGTCTCTACCCTCCCCCCCCAATTTTGAAATTCAAAACTAAAATTATGCCATTCGTTTATGCTTCGTTTGTGCTGGTATGCGCTTTGAATCCCGTCGTTTATGCTCAACTTCCCGAAGAATACAACTTTAAAAGTTGGGGAATAATATGTACGCAAGCCGACAACGGGAATGCAATGTTCGAGATATACTCATGAACATTATTCAAACACGCGGAACTCGAGTTTTCGAAACACATGATTCCGCATTGCGCTCGAAACGACGCCGACGAGAAAATTTCGAATCGCGACGAAGTGACCATTCACGAAATACAGAGCGCACTTGTCCGGTGTCAGAACTTACTTAAGCATAAGCAATCGAACATCTAATTGTTGGGTCATCGTTTTGCTCTTCGGGTCACTGGGATTCGCACACCGTCCAATGGATTCCCGTAGATCTCCGCTGCTAACTATCACCAAACGAACGTGTGCGAAGAACAAGGTAGGGAGGAAAAACGAGCGGGACGTTGTGAAAGACTTGGTCTAGAAAATATTTCATCCACCGACTACCTGCCACTACTTGCCACTACCTGGGTTCGGTATCTTTTGCACCACGCGCGGTCGACGAGCACAACATATTAAGTGGTCTGGGGCCATTCCCGTGGAACATTTTATCCGCCGATCTTCGCGCTGATAAATGTAGGTTTCTCGCGATTAAAATAGTTCCCGAACGCCAACGGTAGTCGTTACGTTTAAAAGAGTGTGCAGGTAGCTAGGTAGGTATACGTTCACGTGCGACTGACTCGACGGACGTTCACATTACACAGTTCGCAGTCCGTCCGGTATTCGGGTCACGTAGCTCCGGCCACGAGGGGTGAGGAGACTAACGATGGCCTCGGAAGAAAGAATGCACAAAGGATGTTATCAAAGATATATATATATATATATATAAACATATGTTTAGGGGTGAAACGCGAGCGATGATCAAAAATGAAATAATATGCGAGGCCACGGGACGCGCGTAACAAGTTCTCCGACGGTATCCCCGTCCGATCGCATGATTAGATTAACGCTGACCCGCAGTAAAATTTACCTTCCCCTCGCACGGAACGTGAGCAACTGTTTTGAGCAACACTGTCGAGGTCGTGTGTCTAGGTGGTGGTGTCTTTTATTTTCAGTTCTGGAGTAGAGCACGGCATTATCAAATCGCTGACTCATTTTACCGAAGTACTGATCAACCGGGTGGGTACGACAAACCGGTCTGCAAATATAATAATTTGTACTTCAGGTACATAGGTACCCGTACAGCTTGTACTTGCGTGCGGTAACAGTGGTGTACTTGACTGTTTGACGATTTTGACCTTGCGATTCGGTTTTAAAATTATGAATTATTCTGATCCACAACGTGTCAATGGCTTAACGAAAGACGCACTTTGATCGTGTACCGACTTTGACTAAACACTTGACCGTGGCGAAATCATGTGAGTTTCCGTCCTCTCCCCAATGACGCCATTTGCGTCAGATCTATTCCTACCAACGCATTGCCATGCGGTACTAAATACTTTTCATCGTAAGTCACACTTAAAAGAGTAGCGATATTACCGCCGCGTAACGTACCCAAGTTGTGACGTGTCAATATTAATGGAATCGCCGCACCCTACTGATCAATTTTTATCGGTTTTCATCTGTTGTAAAATGAAAATTACTCATCCGGCATCAAAACTAATGTTTCTAATTGTACCATTGCATCAGATCCCCGGCGGAAATGAAAATTTACAAAAACGTCATGTGAAAACTGTTCAAGACGGAATCGCATTCCAAATTAAAAAAAAATACGTTCGTCTTAGACATGTTTCCGGTTTGTTCGATGAGATTGCACGACCGCTTTAAATACGTGTTTCTCTATACGTAGTATAATTTCGTGTGAAATATTTAACAATCGTATAATTAATTAATCCTGAATAAATCTTGGTTTTGTGGTATAAAATAGCATATCGCGTCATCTACAGTGTTTGTTCCGGGAAAATATTTTTATGTTCTATTCGATACGTCCCTAATTTTTTTTTTTTTTTATTTATACATAGATATCTAATTGCTTTTCTTCTTACGTTACCATTGATTTTCGCCAACGCTGAAACGGTTTCGACGACCGATATCATCTCGATGGATGTTTTCTCGTGAAAATATTCAAATAGTATAATCGCATTATATTATTTATAACCCTCGTCGGAAAAGACGACCTTTGTATAATATATTTTTGACTGACCGCACGGAGGAGGGTGCGGGAATAGGACGGATTTAAACGAGGATCCGTCACATCATCCTGCATTGGCCCCGGGGAAATCCACATGGACCCGTCTCCAGCTTCTGGGCCGAGGTCATGTCCCTTACCAATGTTGTTCACGGAAGACTCGGACAAAAAAGGCTTATCTTTTATCATGTCGAGGTACGCCTCGATTCGGTTATCCTTGTCGAAATCCATTTATACATTTCCAGTTACCTAAGCACATCCATGGCTCGTCTCTTACATATTTTTACAAAAACGGTATTGTAGAAAGTATAAAAAAAACTTTAATTAGTTTACATCGAACGCTGGAAGATTGTAATTTTTAAAGTAGCTCGTTTAAATATAAACTTTTTGTTTATTTATTTTTTCTATTACAAGGATTTATTTGTTAACGTATAACGGTGACGATCGCCAAAACTAACACGTTGAGCGGACATCAATCCAGACGAAGATTACTATGAGCCACCGACGCTGCGCCCCTCTACGAACCTATATAAGATTGGATTGATTGAAATGTTTTTTTTCTTTTTTCGTTTTCCAGCCGTGACGCCCGCGGGATTTCGTTTCTCGCCCATGCTGGCCGTGATCGCGGTCGGCTGCATCGCGTCCGTCGTGTCCGTCGCTTGCATCGTGGCCGTGGCCATAGCGGTGCAACGGAAGCGCAGCCGTCGCCGCCGCAGCCGCCGCCGCGAACGGTCCAGCGACGAGTCGAAAACGGCCATCGACGGCGAAACCGGAACCGGCGATGGGACGGAAGGCGATGGCGGGGCGACGGACGGTGACGGCACCGGCGCGGAAACGGACGGACGGAACGGTGTCGGCGGCGGCGGTGCGGACCGTCACCATCAACGCACGGAAGCCGTCGACGACGGGCTGGAGAAGAACCCGGACATTATACCGCACGACAACGGTGAGTTCGCGTCGCGTAATTTACCCCTTTTTTTTTCTTTTTTTTTTTTGCTTCCTCCCCGCGTGTTCGCCGGCGCAGGGATGGGTCCCTCCCGTAAACCGTTCGTAGATTGTTCTTCGAGCCGATCCTGACACGCCGCGGCCACGCGAAAACGTAGCTCTCCGATCGCGGTCCGACCGTGGGCGACGTTCGCTCGACGTATTCGTCCGTTGCGCGCGACGGTTGTTTTCCGAGACGGTTTTTGGCCGCTCCGAACGATATTATCTACGGCTCCCCTGACCCGTCGTACGCGCGCGCACGTCTCGCTTTTACCGCCGTAACACCCGTTGCACCCTGAGTGACGGCAGTGGAAAGTATACGTCTTCGCTCTCCCCTCCCCCGACGTTTCTTACGCGTAACAACGTATGACGTTCTCTTAAAGGTTCCACAAACATAATGTTCTATAAGCTTGTGCGAACTTTGCAAAGACTTAACGCGGCCTAGGCTCTTCCGGGCGAACTGCGTAATGAAATTTCGTCGGGAAATAATAACAGTGATAATAATAGAGTCACCCTACGACGGCGATGTCGCGCCAGTGTGTCCCTCGGTATTAATATTGGATTTCCACGAATTTACGTTGATCGAACATACCGTACCCTACAATAAATGCCCCGAACGTTCGCGTCGCGAGTACATTGACGAGTGTATTCAGTGCTGCGAATCGTTGACACCGAGAAATATGTTCTGATTCTCACAACACGTTTCGATCCGGTTGATTTCGATCGCATCACGGCGTTCGAATCGCCAGTGCCTATTACCGTATACACGTCGCAACTACGATATTATCACGGATAAAAAGAACAGGCGTATAATGTTAGGTACAGAGTAGTCCCGACTTTATAAATATTTCAAGGGTTAACCGCTTAGGTTCGTCCGGACGAGTTACATCGTAACTATTATTATAATTAAAATAAAAAACATACTTAAATATCAGTACACGATAAATTCTTTCATAAATATAATTAAATTAATTTCTTACGGTAACAAGGCAAAGTAACGATTCTTTGCGGTCTTTCCGGATGTACTGCTCGAATTATTTACAAAGTAGGAACGTCCATAAATCGTTGAGTGTCTTCATATTTTTTTCCGTGGATGTCATGCAACCGCATTAAGAAGGTGAATAAGACGGTGGTAGGGGGAGGAAGGTTGTGACCCATGATAGAAAAACGCCATAGGACAAATGAAGTAACGAAATCATTCACTTATGCGCCCTTTCTCGAACGGAACACCGAAGGTTAGATAGGTGTACTTGTTGTTGACGAGCGTTTGTGAATTTCCGAGCGTATGAATTCACGTTTTCTAATTCACTAATTATTGTTGTTTCTTGTTTCCGTAATAACCGTCTAAAGTTGTCATCGTTTACTTTGACGAGAAAGTAATGTTAGCTGCACGTCTACTGCAGTTTTTCCGGCGATCGAAATATAAAGTCTGATTCGGTTTTAATTACAAACAACTACTCTGACGCGTTCCTCGCGAAATAAAAATAAAATTTCGTGTACCGTGTTCAGTTTCATTAGCTTTCAGGCGCTATGTTAACGAACAATGGTTTTATACCAATTTCTGTTCTTCCGTCCTATCTGAAGTGAATATCCTTTCCTTTTCGTCTCCGTTGTTATTTTTATTAACATGAATATAAGGTTTGAAAATATTTTATTTTTTTTTTCGTTCTCGTCGTATTATTCTTTTTTTAAATAGTATACAATATTTATAAGACTCGAAAACTTTCCAAACAGTACTTCCTGTTCGTTCTTCGCGCAGTCCTGCGCATGCACTAGTTTTATCCGTCACACTATTCTATTGAACGAAATTAAACTACGCTTACTTCGTTCGGCTCAAAATGGCCATCACGTAATTTTTCTCCGGATAACGTAAACGCCCGTGTATAAGTACTGTATTTCGACTGTTGCAAATATTTTATCCGGAAACGAACATGAATGTGGTTCGTGAACGCGTATGGCCTTTCTCGCGGCATCTATATTTCTCTTAAATGAAAGAGCTCGTACGAACAAACGTGCATCAACATCAAAGCGAATAATTAATATGGAATCGGTGATGGTGATAGAGAAAAAATTAATTTCTACGGCAAATGTCACGTTTATTATTAAAGGCAATTCGAACACGATTGTTACGGATTTTTACGGATCTTACGCTTTCGTCGAGTAGTACCTATAGGATGTTTGTTGACTTATTGTTTTAATTGTGCCGCAGATTATCTAGATGAAGACGAAAAAGCATTCGAACGGTTGAACAGTGGCAGATTGTATTCATCGCGAATCGTCGACGCAGAAGCATGCAAACAACAAGTAAGTTCTAATAGTTAAACATTAGTATTATTACACACACACACACATACACCCTAATATAAAAACTCAAACAAATGAATTATTAAAAAAAAAAAAAAAAATAGTATAGAGCTAAAACAAAAAACAAAAAAATTAAAAATGAAAAATTTTGAATTCGATTTCATTGAATACTTTAACCGATTAACATTTTCTATGTAAATTTACATGTACATTTGGTTGACATCCTTCGTTAAGTAATATTATTTGGATATGACAAAATAAACTTTGTATTCCCTTATGAGCTACAAACTTTTTTGAAAAAAAAAAAACACTATATTATTTTGTTACTGGTCGGTTTATTTTTTAATATAAGCCAACATATGTTTAAAATTACAAAAAAAATTTAATAAATATTAAGGTCAAAACCAGAACAAAATACGCTTTTTACATTTTTTCAACAACTTTACTAACAAAACATTCATTAACTCAACAAAATATTTCGAAATTATGAAAATGCGTCTCAATTATGTTACCAGAAAGCAATATTCTCTTGATCATCATGATATACATTAATTATTTATCAAGACTTGCCAATTTATGTAATGTATTTCAAAAACATGTATTTCTTTGATTATTCATTAACAAAAGTTTCCCAAACGAATAATAAATAAAGAAAATTTCCATCATTTCTCAAGTTCAGTAACGCAATATCTTGCTATAAATGATTTTTTATTAAATAAAACCTCTTTCTCCGGTCTTTATTTTTCAATAAAAACATATTTTCTAGTTCGAATTGTAAGAATAATAAAATACATACGTCTGACTAAGTTATTAAATATATTTTGCGTATACCTAGTCTAAAATAAAATGTGGAATCTTCAAAATTAAAATTTACTTCTTATGACATATAAACAAGTACCGTCCTCTCTTCTCAAAACTCATTATAATGAACTCTGAAATTCAAATTAACGCCATAAATACAAGTTTATTCTGACTAATTATTAGGTGAAAGTGAACTACATATGTAGAGTTATATATATTATGTAGGGCATCATTTACGTACTCGCCGCAGGGACGTCGAGAAGAATTCGTGCGTGGACATAAATTAAAGGCGAAGATATGAATAAATGAATAAACGTTTACGTGTAATAATATATTTTACAATTTCGACCATCGCTAAATGATGAGATAAGCCTCGCTAGACTCCCCGGTAATCCCTCTAAAACGTCAGCTTCGAAATCCCTATTATTCGCACGCGCGTCGTGATGATTTACCGTTAGTCGAACGAAAGGAGAAATGTTGCGCGCACGTATTGTCGATTCGAGCAGCAAGTAATAATTTTTTTAAATAAAAAAGAGGAAAGAAAGAAAAAAAGAATATGGTGGAGGGAGAAATTCGGGATGAATAGTTTCTACACGTAATGTAATGGGATTGCACCAATGTTGATGATATTACATCGTAGACGGTATTATTAATCAAAATCGCGATAACTCATATAATATATTTCCGACGAGGATAAAAGGCTCTAAAGCTATAGGGTTAGAGTCCGAGTTTCATGCGTGTTCGGTTAGGAACCGATTGAAACGAATCGATTGTTTTGCTCTACACAATATAACATATCGCCCTAATAGTATTATATCGTAACAGACGACCGATCTTATGAGTACGAACAGAATCGAATATAACCGCATTACCGAGATAATATTATACACTTACGATACGTATGTGATGTATTTGATGTGTACACTTAACCACACGTTCAATGATTGCGTTTAAAAGTTATCAAACGTTTTATTTTCGTACAAATCACTTATGTCAGTGGGGTGATTTCAGCTTTTCGGTAAGTGCGAAATGAGGTTAGAAATCAAACTCCAGATGTTTTCAACCCGTTGTTTCTTTCGGTTGTATACGACGCGTATACATGATAAATTATCAAACATCGGACGACTATAATATCGTCGATGGTTTGGACGATAATTTGTTCAATCTCCGTGGACAGAAACATTGGTCTAAAATTCGGGGGGGGGGGGGGGGGTTAGACGCATCATGAATTTCGGTTGGGAAAATCGAACGACGAGTAGAATAATTAAATGTCAAAAACTTCATTTCTGAAGAAAAAAGCTACGAGAACGTTTTCAATGAAGACGTAATATTTTCTATTTTATTCCGTTGACGGGTACAAAGGAAACGAACTTTTCAATAATCCCAACCTGTATTCCCCGTGTGTAGGTACTTTGTGCCTTTTAATCCACACGATTTCCAGCCCTACATTTTTCATCCGGTTTCCAGACCCCCCGATGCAACGCGTAAGATCTTCAATAAACTTTTCGATTTTCGCCGTATTCCCACGCAATTTCTTCTATCTTTTTTGTCTTTTTTTTTGTTTTCGCGCAGCGCTTTACATTTTTTTCTGATCTTGGCGACATCCGCACTGGAAATCCACCGCAAACCTTTTGTCGCTTATTTCGCCCGTCACCGCTGACCGTCTCTGTTTCTTTTTCGCGTTTCAGGCCCGTGGACTGATGCCGCCACCCAACCCGATGACGCCGCAACAGCAGCTGTACGCGTCGGACGTGATCGGGTCCCCTTCGGCCGGGATCGCATACCCGACCCTGATGTGCCCGACACCGCCTCCTCCGCCTTCCCAGCTGCTGCTTCACCAGCACTACCAACAGCAGCAGCAGACGCAACACCAGCAGCCCATGTCTATAATGCACCACCGGCACAACGGTGGCGGCCCACAGCAGGTGCAATACGTGCAAATCGACCATCAGCCGCAGTTCTCGCACCCGCACCACCACCACGTCCACTATCAGCCACCACCGTCGCAGGTCCGAACCATGACCCTGGGCCGGTACCACAACCACAAGCTCCACCATCAGCCGCAGGACCGATCGGCCGAGATACCACTTTTACTGGCTCAACCGGGGCTGCAACAACTCCACCATCAGATGCACCAACGCGAGAGCACGGTATAAACACTCACATAAAGTGTAATAGCGTTATGTTAATATGAAATTCATACAAAGAGAGAGAGAGAGAGATAAATACGGACGGTTTTATTCGTTTAGTTTTCATTTTTATTTTTCAAATTTTTTTTTTATTATTATTTTCCCGTCATTTCGTTTTAGTAGCCTGTTTTCAGGAGCGAAACATTAATATTTTTTTTTTTTTTTTTTTTAATAAATTTCTTCTCGATATCTCTTCGAAGATTTTAAGCGATCCGTTCGATTACCAAAAACGTTTACATTTTTATTTTACTTACAATTTCACCCCCCCCCCCTCCGAAAACGAACTAGATTATTAATTTTCAACATGGATCGCTCCACGTGTCGTACGTAATACTGCAATGATTTTATGCCTCACACAGTTTGTATTCTCCTGTCGCATCCGAATCGGTTCCTAAGTCTAAACATCGACGTCTGAACCGGTTGCTTTAGTGATATGTGAACCCAACTTAGATATACCCTTTGAAGCAGACCGGGAATGAATTCGCACATTACGAGGAACCAATTCAAATGCACTATGTGTTTTTCATACCCAAAAAATTAATTAATTCGTTGCGCGAACGTACACATGTACTATGTACCCCACGTGTGTGCCGTCATTATATTAATAATATCAATTAACTATCGAACAATGAACCACGATTTATTTTCTGTAAAATGTAACCGTTTACCCCCTAGTCTGTAATGTAATTATTATTATTATTATGATTTATATTTATTTTATTTTATTTTATTGACTAAAATCAAAAACGCTTACCATTACATATAACTTATATAAATATATATATAGATAGATAGATTTATATATTATACATATACTTTTAGCGTCTTGCTGATCGCTTTTATATTTTATTTATTTGTTTTGTTTTTGTAAGCTGCATGCATGTACTTATAATTTATTTATTTTACTATTAACACTTTTATATATATATTTATATCAATGTGTACGTTCACAATTGATCCTATAGTAGAGTTCCTATTATACATCAATTATGGTATATAGTGCACATTTGCATATTTTCAATTGTAATAATTTAAAGTACACGATTGCAAAAGATTGTATAAAAAAAAAATACATATAAATCTAATATTCGTATATTAACCGTCATCTACAATATTATTTTATTATTAATTTTCGTGTCAAAACATTTTATGATCAACTAATAAACCGTAATTACGTACTCATTTGTACCAAACAGTTTATTTATTATTTTATCATTTTCGTCAATATTATTATTTTTTTATTGTTTTTCCCCGACTTGTGTTTTAAACTATTGCACGTGTTTGAAATAGATCTCCACATTGCATGATTTTATTTCACCGCCCTATTTATCGCCTACATAGATATACAATCAACTGCTGTGTGTTGTGCATCACTCTTAAATTATTATCACCTCAAACGTTTGGACATAATTTACAACACTGCGATGAAATACAATGTTTAACAGGAATCAAACGTAATTAAACAGATCGGTAAATACAATATGGCTCCATCTGTGTGTGGCACGAAAAACTTTATGAAATACAGAGTGTTCGTTTTCGTCGTAAAATTATGTTTTAGGTTTCTACCTTAAACTGAAATATGACGATTAGAATTAATAAAAAAAATAAGCGTACGCTATAAAATGAGAAGACGAATAATTGTTTTTTTTTTTTGTATTTCTAACATCTATTGCTACCCCAAATTCGCGCAACGTAACCAGATTTATTTCCTCGACGGGTTCCGTACACAATGGTTATGCATTTGGTTTCATTGCGTAACTAACCAATAATAACATGACCGCTAAAAATTTCATCAGCTCACCTGTAGCGAATGTTTAAACTTTTCCTTCTTATCTTGGTTTGGAAATATGAACGTAACAAAACAAACACGTACATAAAAAGAGATTTTCATTTTAGAAAACCTATTTCATTCAACGTCTATCATTCAACCGTAAGAAATATAAATTACCCGACTGAATTTTAAATGGTCCATTTAAAATGAGAATCAGAATTTATGATTCGACTATTACTAAGTTGTACTGAGGATTATTTAAAAAAAAAAAAAAAAACTACCGGAATCCGTTTTAGAACTGTGGTTCATATTGGACAAATGTTTAATGCGCACAAAAACGGACGTACAAATTAAACGTTTAAATCGATTTTTTTATAATTCCCAAAACAATTTGACGTATACGGCAGTAATCATAAACGGGTAATGTCACTTTTTTCGTACGTATACAATTTCCACGATACGTTTTTGCGTGCATACAATTTTCAATGGAATAATTTAGTTTTGAAAAAATAAAAAAGATAATACGTATTTTTTTTTTTTTTTTTGTTAGGCTTATAAAATACAAAAGAGTTTAGTCACGTGTTCGCAACATTTCTATACGTCGACGGGGTACCGAACTGCTCTAAATCCCAGGAGCGTAAGCTCTTCCGCATTATCGAACCCGACTGTGGCAGCGGCAGCGCGTTCAGAGTATCGCACCCAGTACTGGATTACTCATTAGGTGGAGTAGGCACTCGCCTTAGGGCCTCACTCATTTATGGGGCCCTGTGAAAACAGAAATCTATATTTTTTTTTTATTCGATAATACCTGTATTTTATTTACGAATTTACGGGACAAAAAAGTCATTATGAAATATAATATATATATTAAGTTGTAGATATTACGTGCAGTAATAATAATAAAACTGTTTTGATGAAAATAGAAACAATAAAATAATTAATTCATTTTTCCCACAAATAAAAAAATGTAATAAACACGATTTTATTTATTAATAATAGTTGGTTAATATTAAATCTGTTTATTTTAATTACTGGATAGTGATGTTGAAGATGTATGTAAAAAATAATTTTGTAGGGCTCAAAATTGTAATTACCTAGGGGCCTTGTTTAATCCAAATGTTTAATCCAGCACTGGTCGCGCAACCATCGAAAGAACACTGTCTCACGCACGACCAGACCCAAAGGAAGAAATAACTGTCCATTTCTAGCCCTGACGCGCTGAACCGGATTACGATCGCAACATAGGCGGGGGGGCTATTGCTTTCGGCGAGACCCTTTCACCAAAATTATTCGTATTTATGAACGATTTTAGTACGAACTCGATCGATCGATAAAACAGTGCTTTATATTTGTCGGCCAACGATTGCAAAACGCATTGCGACGGCTTTCGACTCGCGGTCAGGGACTGCTACAGCTCACCCTTGATCCGGCCCTATTAACACGTGCTCGCGACTCACGACTCGGTCGCGGTGCGGAACAGTAATGATCGTCGATTTGCCAACGCGACGACGGTTTTTGTACGGGGCGAGAAAATACCGTGTCCGGCAACCGTCGTACACGTGATGAACGTTTAGTTGCCTATCGCGCGATCGTCGCGGACCTGTACAATCGTTTAAATTTCTTTCGTCGAAACATCCGTGAGAACCGGCCCCGGAGTTTTCTGTCGGGGAACGCGTGTACTCGCGTTTAGGTAAAGAAACGATTAGACGGACCTCGACGGGGGAGGAGGCGTATGAAAAAAAATTAACAACCCCTGACTAGTCATCGCGTGATGTGGTCGGGTTCGAAGTCACGGTTTGGAAACGGCCGGACGTTTGGACCGTTGCGCGATCAGTTCGCGATTCCGGACGAACGTGCACGCACCCGTCTTAACGATTATTTACCGTTCGTGTGACGTTTGAGGCAATGTTTCTAAAACTTATCCACCGCCTAAAATACGGAGACGGATTGAAATCATAATTAAATTGTAATTCGCTACCGTAAGGTGTTGAATCCAGTCCAGTTCGACCATTAAACCGTTTCACGTACGATCTTGCGAGGGGCACGACGACGTAGAACAACTCCACAGCAACGTATAGATGTTCGTCTAACTCGACATTGCCAGGGGCTCACTACGCGTTCCGTGTTCGCGCTCAGGTACTTCTAACAGAAATCAAGTAAAATAATAATAAAACTATCAATAATCGCGACACCGTCGTTGGGGAGAATTTAAAGTTTACGTCTCAGTTTTAATTACGTTACACGCGACGGGCTGCTTATTTTTCTTTCTTTCCCAGCTTATTAACTTCGATTCAATTAACTCTCAGTCAATTCGTTTTTTATTGCCGTCGATTCAGGACATACCGTTTGCATGGGTAAATATTTTTATTTTCTTTCTCTTTACGCGCTCCGATTTTTTCTCTTTTATTTTTTTTTTCTCTTTTATCGAATACATTAATTTACTATCAACTTTTTTAACCGAGGTGAGATGCAATATTTTTCGTCAAACCAAAACAAACATACACCGTCTTGGTCGTTTAGTATGCTGTTTACCGACCAGTACATTATTATGTTAATATTTCCGACAAAAAATTATACGTAAAACTCGGGTTTTGCACTCTTATCCCGAACTTTCCTGTATAAACATTTTTAAAAAGTCATTTTTCCGTACCGAGCGGACCATGCGGTGAAAACTCGTCGACGGTAAAAAAAAATAAAAAAATAAATAAATATTATATTCGGACGAACATGGCGAAAACAAGCCCGCGCACGCTATAAAGCGAATATGATAAAACGTGGTGCGTTCGCAAAACCGTGATTGATCGAGAAATAATTATTTTAACAACCATTACTCCACGTTTTCGAAATCTGCGTCGGCTAAGTTCACGGTTCGGCGGATTAAAACCCCGTCAAAATGTGCATAAGAACTCTTCGGCGTGCGGGGGCAGCAACTGAACGCACTTCACCTGGAAAACGTGGTTAAAATCCGTCGGTAACGTTGAACATTAGCGATTTTCATTCCCGTCGAATGCGATTAAGTTTTCGAATGCGCACTGGAAACGCGATCGCGTCGGGTTATTCGTTTATTAATATGCTTATTTTTTTCATTATCGTTACGCAATCGCAAGCTACGCATGGATAACGTGTTGAACACTAGGCAAATAACATGATCAATACAACAAATATATATTTATATGTGTGCGTATGTGTACGTATGTCGAATTGTCAAAAATTAGAAAATATACACGCGCGTGCAAGTTGTCAGCAGAACTGATAAAATATGCAAAAACATGCAAAATTAATTTGAACTCGTCGCCCAATGAAATGAATAATTTATACAACACGTCCGTTGCAAATACCAACTGGAAACAATAAAAAAATAAAATACATGGGTACCTACAACTTCCTAACGCCTAGTTATGTCCAGCGTATCGATTTCGTTCCGACGATGGGGTTTTAGGATGTGTATATGATATAACGCGTTTAAGCGGCGCGAAAAAAACTTCTCGGGATCCGATAGGACATGTGTGTGGCATCCGGGTACGGTGCACAACGGAAAAACGTGTCCGTACCAGCCTAAAGACATTATTATCAATCGTATAAATCATCCGTATACAACCCCTGTAAAATAGTTCAGTTATTGTTCGTTACGATTTTAATTAATTGAAAATATACAAATATAAAATAAAACGATTAGATTGATTTTCGTTTCGGTTTTCTCGAACTTATAGCACGGAAACCCAAGGATACGAACACGCGTGTTACGTTGCAAACCATCAAAATTGGTTAACAACGACGTACCGTCATCGAAATATTATTAGTAAAATATAGCTTCTGCGAGGATTTATAGTAATTATTTCATGTTTTTTTTTTTTTTAATGTGAAAACATTTTTCACATACATACAGTATTTTTACAAAATATTTTAAATTTTAATATTTTTTACAAAATACATTCAGTATTTTCCGTTTGCGCAGTGAACATTTTTCGAGCGACGACAGTCATATCTGAAGTCCTAGTGGACCGATTTGCATAGTTTTTTTTTTATTTAAACGTGAATGATTTGTGTGCAGAGCCATCGAAGGAAAAAATTACAAAAATGTAATTAAATAATTATAAGAAGTGTCAAATTGAACGTGTACACGATACCGGTTCGGTATCACGACTGCGGCGCGACGGCACTAAACACACTGATAGAAGTTTAGGCTGCTACGTATTACCCACTAGTTGCATAACTCGACTGGACAAAGGTAGACCGGTGGCGAAGAATGCGTTCTCTCTTCGGACAAAATATAATTCTTAAACATTTTCAATCCTATCCTACAAATATTACGAAAGCACGGGTTTTGTATTAAGAACATTCACTTCAAATTCTACAATAATAAATCTATAATTCTAACATCATATTTTCACATCTTCCGAGGGTCGCCCGTGACACTTTTTTTACATACGTGATTAACACAATGACAACTCACGAGTCCAAGACTTTTTTATAAACAAATCACAATGAAACGGTCAGATTATTTCTCCGGAAATGTTGACGGATCGACTATACTTAATTTCAACGAAGTTTAACTTGCGGCGCAATATCGTTACGCGTTTTACTTTCGAACAAGTGCTCATCTCCGTGTCTCATTCCCATCCGATAACGATTGTTTCTGATTGTTAAAACAAAACCATCAAATATCATTTATAAACCGTTGGACCGTCAACGTTTTCAGTATTTCTAACGAACACGAATTTCGCAAAACAGATTGTTTTTTAAACATTTCGCCAAAACAATTATACTCGTCATTTAAATGTACGGTAAATGTTATCTTTAACAGCGCGCGTTATTGGAAATACTTAACTTGATTATCTCTGTATTTTCGTCGAAGACATCGCAACAACTAAACCCTCGCGAGGCGCTCTTAACAATATTAACATATTTGAGACCAGATGGGTTTCATTTCTTCGTCGGTCCCTTTGGCACTGTGCACGCTTGCATGCAGGGGCACGCAGTGCGATTGTAATAACAGTCGATTAATTAGTATAATTATGTTAGCCGTTCGCCCAGAAACGTACGACTCGGTTGTGCATGCTCGTATTTTGTTACATATTAATATTTCCAACGACATTCGAAGTGCTCCAAATATAACGGCTGTTAATTGTTTCGTGGAGTTTTATGCGGTTTTCGTTGCATAACAATTAACGAATAATAATTGTAATTACAATGAACGATAACAATATGAGCGGTTAAAATTAATATCAGTAGAACGAGAACGATGAAAAGTCGACAAATCGACGGTAAACATAAGATTTTACCAGTCGAAAACGGTAATGGTTTGCGACCGAATAATTAAAATATATATTATATCGATCCTTTTAGTGCCCAATCGCACCGGTCAAATATAGAAACGATCGTCTGATATAGCGGTTTTCAACATTACACGTGTGATGTATTAAAAAAGCTTTTCGCTTCGTCGAACCGAACGCGATCGAACGAAAAGTTCGCTTCGCTTTGGTCGGTGACGGTTCGCGGTTTTGGTTTCGATGTTTCTGACCCGTCCGCAACGGGTCCTAAGTTCTATTATTACCGTACGACGTGTGCACATATCAGTAGGCGCAGCGAGACTTCGCGTTCAAGGTACGCGAGAAAACCGAATATTTACACGCATAAAATAGTGAACTTGCAAAAAAAGTAGCAACCCCCAAAAAAATTAGAATATACATTTTTTTGTTCGCACGGGAGTTTGGGGCATGCATTTGCGTACCCTGGCTACGCCTATGCGTACAAGATACTAACTGCGCACTGACATTTCTCGTGTTTTTGCATGTGCGCAGACCGACTTGACAGCAGAGAGAGGCGGCAGCGCCGGAGCCGTGTTCGCCAGCCCGCAGCCCGCGGCACCGTCGCAACAGCAGCAGCAGCAGCAGCAGCAGCAGATCATCGCGGCCACGCGGTTTTGACAGACGGACTTCGAATCGACCCCCGAGGACGATCTGGTCATGCTGTAGGTGCGACGGCTACAGCGACCGACAGCCTTCGAGGCAACACACCGAAACCACTTTTTTTTCTTTTTTTTTTTTGTATTATAAACGATAGTATCGCGGGTTTCCGCGACAAGAGCGTGTGAAACGTTTTTTTTTATTTTTTTTTAATTTTTTTCCTTCTATTATTTCTCGATTTTTATGATTCATTTATCTCGTCGTCGTCGTCGTCGTTTTCCTCGGTCTCGTAACAATCATCCCATCTCCTTTCACGCCGCCAACCGTATCCCGTTACCGTTCCTCACTGTTCCTTCCGGTGACGCCATCAACGGAGTATTTCGACGGATTTCGGCTGTTAGGCGCAGTCGTGGCGAACTCGAGTTGGGTCTCAGATTTTGAAAACAACGTGAATCAGGTCCGAACGTATATTACGGAATACATGAGTCGGGTCCCAATGTATTTCATCGAGTACATGAATCGTCTATTAACGTTACGACACCACGTGGAAGTTGGTTAGAATGTTTCACAACAATTTTGGTTTTTTGTTTCGTTAAGGTATCGGTCTGATGTAAAAATTATTATTGAATTAGCTTGATTTTAACTTTAAATATTGTGGTTTTTTCTTTTTATCGTAAATATTTGTATTACAATAAGCTAATAATAAGTTTGAGCTAGGGAATAATTTTAAAAAAACACGTATTTTACAAAATTTAACCGGCTCAATTCTCTATTGGTAAAACAAAGCATCTTTTCTGTTAAAAATGTTACTTTTTCTGCTCCGGCTGTGAGGCTAAGCTCTGAAGTGATAACTAAATTTCACTCTGAATAACTAGTAAAATTTCTATTAATATTAGCATTTAATTTTATATGAAAACTTTAAATAGTATATAAGATAAAGATATTACCATGGACCCAATTCGATTATTATTAAATAACACCGCGGACCAAAGTCGTGCTTATTTTAATTGATTAAATATCTTGGGACCCAACACGTGTTTTGCCCCCGTACATCGTTTTTATCGCTTAACTCGCTTACTATCTGCACCGGGAACCGTCGTGACGGTTTCGTACTTTTCGGAAAATCGGCCGGAAAAAAGCACCGACCGGTAACGCCGCAAGAGCGCAAAAACCACCTCTTCTAGAAAACATAACGTTTCGTTTTAAATGGCGGTTCAAAATCAAATCTCAATCCTCACGTTATTCGCTACACATAAGTGTCGATTTTAAACTACTGTTCGATCGAATGACGATGAGGTGGATTCGACTTTCGGTGACCGTCGACGTAACCGTTTGCCGTCACGACTGACCGGTGACCGCGACGATGAAAACTAATTATAAACACAATTTCCCTAGTTCTCTATATCGAAAACGACATCGAAACCGTCTCGGACGCGGTCGATTCGAACTTTTCTGGAGCGTGAAACGTTTCGACGCGGCTAGGAACACACCCCGCCCGCCTGAACGATGACCGCGGACCTGGCAACATCGGCTCGAGAGAAAGCTCTTGCGCCCCCATACGGGGTACGTTCGCTAAAAATATTACGCAAAAGTCTTGCGTAGTACTATTAGATCGCAGGAACCGTGCACGGATGGGCGTACTTGGAGGTAAATCGACGGGATCAGAGAAAATTATAATTACGATCGATGGTACATAAACCGCGATCGCGAAACAATGTCTTATCAAGATTTCGTAGAAACACAGTACCGATAAATCCGTTTAGGGCGTGGTCCGTTCGTCTATAGAGTTTTGATTTTAACGGTAAAAGCCAATATACTAAGCAATGCAGTACACTAGGGCTCGGATTTCAATGCGTGTACATTTTTTTCTTTTTTTTGAAGCGATGCTTTCCGAGCTACAAATAGTTTCAACTACACTATATTGTTATTAAAAAAATTTTTTGAGGCACATATTTAACGGATTTTTTTTTTGATTTTTTAAGATATTTTCGACTAACTTCTCATATCATGCCTAAAAACATTACCAGAATTAACGTTAAAAGAATCTATAAATGTTGCAAATACAATTAAAAATATCAATCATCAAATCAAATTGGAAAAAAACATGAATTTAAATAAAAATAAAATCTTTAAAAAAATTAAAAAAAATTAATCAAATATTAAAAGGATGACAATATACATAGATCTAGAAAATGTTATTCCAGAACCTTGACGCCTAAAAATATGAAATTTTTCGAATTTGCTCCTATAATCTCTGTTGGTGTTGAGATGTAATTTTCAGTATATCAAAATTTGTGGAAAAACAACCGTCAATAATTTTAAAATACTACATATGCTTCCATATTACATAAGCATTACAAAGTGTAAAATAAATGTAATTTTTCACCAATTTTTTTATATTTTAAATCGTAAATACACAAATTTTTATGTTAAACAAATATTTGTTTTCTCTAAATTTCAATATTTATTAATTTTATTACTTCACAATTTTCGTTCTTTAAAAAAAAAAAAAAAAATTATATTTCATTTCATTATTTTAGGGCATTTAAATCCGAGCCCTAATAATTGCTACCTGTACTTTAACCATCTATACTGCAAATTTAGTGGTCGTACGTTTTGTACGAGAAATAATAATAGATTTTTTTTGATAAATTTTTCTAAATCAAGATAACTCAAGAGCTTCATTTGTGTTAAAGCCAAAATATTACTATATTACTTATTATTACTTCAATGGTAAACCATTTGCCGATAGAAACTTTATTAAAAACGCAACAATTTATTTGAAATCAATATTTTTATAGGAAACATAATTGATTAAGTTCTCTCAAATCCATTTACATCATACACCCGAGTATCATATGCTCAGTATGACTGCACCAACTTACTGCTGAGTAGGTTTTAACTGTTAACGGATTCAAATATTCTCACAAAATTACTTCTCAAAATATAAACAAACTCGTTGTAGGTGTACTTTTAATTTTTCTTATTTTGACAAACACCAAATTATAGAAAAGGCAGCGTAACAAAAATTAATTTACGCTTATTAATAGTTGATGACAATGTATCGAAAATAAACCGATAACAAAGTTTTTCAGAGTATCGAGTCGCAAACTAAAAAAAAAAAATATATATAAATAGATAACGTTTTTTATTAAATAAAACTCGTCACGTCCTAAATCGTTTGGTTTCGCACGGGCAGTATGGAAATTTTTCACCGACTTACACTCGTCATTAATCGATCGTACATCACCGAACGAACAAGCTGACATTATCTTACTCAATACAACCGTATCGTTGAATAACGAAAACAATAAGTGTTCTTAAGATTTTTCTAAATGTTTCAAAATCGTTTACAACTTACTGGAGGATATTGGATTTATGTCGATTTACCTTTAAAATGCCAATCGGTAAATAACGTAAGAGACGTTTCCCCAAAACACGCACCACGTGTATTATTTGATACGTTTTTCTCTACTCAGACAATCCATGTTAAAAACTCTTAAAACCCGAGTAAAATCACTTTTTTTGTATGTTTTGTTTACTTTTTTTTATTTTATTTATTTTTATTGAACGCGATGTATTGTAAAAATGTTATTGTTCCTCGTAATTCGATGCTCAACATTCACTCAATTAACAGAAGCAAACATAATAATATTGTTTTACGTACCGTTTAAAATTGAATATTTATTTTATTGATTGAAATTTGAGGTTGTAAATATGTATATTTCAAACAGCTTGTGGTCAAAATGTTTTCTTATAGACACGAAACATCGTTGTAAGACCACAGGATAAAATAAACAATGTTTACAGTGTTAATATTAAACCGTAATAATAATATATTTATATATGTTTTGTCTACAATATTATTATATTGAAACATTTTAACGATATTATTACAAGTATTACCTTTTATAAATATATATATAAATGTATATTATGTTCGATTTGTGTTACCTTTGAAATAGTTTTAGTTAAGCTTAGAAAAAAATAAAAATAAGTTTAGTATGTTGTCGCATAAATGCTTTTGTCGAATGCATATGCATATATATATATATATATATGTTTATTATACGAAATATTTGACGGGCATAAGATTTATAATGTAATGTTTCATCTCCCTTATTGCAATGTTAACACCCGTGTACTTATTGAACTACTTATAGTTAGATGATTACGGTACTATATAAAACAAAACTTTTCTACGGATCGGTGCCACGCGCGCGTTAAAATCGCCGACGACATTGCGGCGCACATGGACCTCACAAGAAAATGTGCAATCTCCACCACCACCAGCAACCCTCTAACTTCGCACCCTTTGCATACCGGTTTCCGCCTGTACGGGCAAACGACGGTTCGATCCCTCGCCGTACCGTCGTACTGCTGTACGCGTCCGCAACTTTCGACCCTTCATCCCGCGGACACGTACGCAACGCTTCAGGAACTCGTTCGTCGTCCAGACACGTCTGGGATGGCACCCGAGCGACTTTGTCCTCTCTCTCTCTCTCGCGTGACGTGTGAAACCACGCTAGGTACCCTACGCGTTCGTTCGTGTTGTAAATATGATAATACGTTTGTAAGATGTAGTTGTTGCAAGTCGAGGCTTATAAAACGATACTGCGCGTCACGTCCGACGATCGTTTTGTCGACGCGATTTAAAATACCAATTGCTCGTCGTCGAATGATTCAGTCAGACGCGTGTTGTAAACGTTGCGACTTGTATAGTAGACGTTTATGATTAACATGTAAGTTGTGCAATTCAATGTCGTATTTTTATCTGTACTTTATTGTTTCGAAAAATGTTATAGCTGTACCAGAATTCATTGTGTTTTATTACCGTCTCATTATTATTTTCGACGCCGTTTATTTTCTATTAAGTATTATTATCATTATATATTATTGTAAATTATATAAAATTATTATTATTATTATTAAAGTTTATTATTTATTGAAATCGGCTATAGTATGTGTTTAGATTTTAATAGAATAAGAATAATTATTAAAGAAATTATTTAATAATATTGCAAAACGATGTATTTAATCGATTCTTGTCCCATGACGAGCAATTGCCAATCACGTAATTTTTGTACATACGTCACAAAATATTTA